ATTGAGTTGATTACAGAGAAAGCAAAACTGACACCATGATCTTGGCAGGTCTTGACCTAGTGATAGTGAGGACTTAAGTTATTAACAGGCTCAATAACTGTGATTACTATGCCTGCACAAAGAAAATTCAGAAAGTACTAATGTGCCTTAATGTTAAAGCCACGGTAGTGGCTGCAGGGCTGTAGCCTTTGTGAACGTGTGCAGTTTGGCCCTCTGTCATGTTTAAGTTGAGCTTGAAGAAGTTACTATGTAGGATGATTGTTCACCAATGTGGCCATTTAGATTCAAGGGGATCCTGATTAACTCCTTGCACAAATCATTTTTGCTAAGGATTCTGCTTACAAGCATTAGAGTCTAGATGAGCCTCCATATAATAGAAGGCATGATTCTGGCTGAACAGGATAACACATTTGTTATTACTATAATTTTATGGTGGCCTTTTACCATGCCTGACCTTATGGAACTATTTATTACAGTGGTGCCTCGACTTACGAACTTAATTAGTTCCGGAACTCCAGTTGTAACTCGAAATGGTCATAACTCGAAGCATCATTTCCCATAGGAATGCGTTGAAATGCAATTCATTCCAGTTGAAGGAAAAAAATCACCAAAAAACCTACAAAAACACTACAAGACCCATCGGAAACTCAATTAATCCATTCCAGCCGAAGGGAAAAGAAAAAAAAAGCAAACAAAGCAAAGCAGAAAGCAAAAAAATCATGCAAGACCCATCGGAAATGCAAAAAAAAAGCAGGAAGCAAACAAATCATGCAAGACCCATTGGAAATGCAAAAAAAGCAAAGCAGAAAGCAAAGAAACTTGCAAGACCCATCGGAAATGCAAAAAAAGCAAAGCAGAAAGCAAACCAACCATGCAAGGCCCATCGGAAATGCAAATAAACCAAAGCAGAAAGCACACAAACACCGCAAGACCCATGGGAAATGGGGGGGAACCCAAAAAGCAAACAAACCTTGCAAGACACATTGGAAATGGGGCGGGACCCAAAAGCAAACAAACCCTGCAAGACCCATCAGAAATGGGGGGGAACCAAAAAGCAAGCAAACCCCGCAAGACCCATCACAGCATAGAAACATAATCCCACCGTCCAGCCCAAAACCACGCTGCAAACCCCACCCAGAATAGTTTTTAAAAAACAGAAAGCAGCACCTTACCTTACCAGGCAATCAGAAGCTTCCTCTGATCCTACTTACTCTAACAGTTGGGGTGAAAGAGCTGCAAAGAAGCAGCCTCTTTGCCTACCAATGGTTAGTAATTTGAATTCCCTGCCTGTTTTCCCTGCCTTTTTCTGTTCGTAACTGGAAGCTCCAGCCGCAAGTCGAACCAAAATTTTGCAGCCAGAGCTGGTTGTAACTCAAAATGGTTGTGTGTCGGGACGTTCGTAAGTTGAGGCACCACTGTACATTGCAGGAAAATGAAAGATAATGGTCCTATATATAATTATAGTGACCTTTGAGATAAGTTTGGTGTATTATTTCAGAGAATATACAAAGTACAGTGGTGCCCCGCATAGTGAGGTTAATCCGTTCCGGATTAACCTTCGTTATGGGGAAACATCGCTAAACGGAACGGAAAAGTCCATTGGGCAAATGGGCCCAAAACTCACCATTCTGCGATGTTTCCCCATCCGGCCGCCATTTTGCGCAGGGGTGTTCCAGCGGCCATTTTGGGTGTTCCGGTGGCCATTTTGGAACCGCCGAACAGCTGTTCCCCCATCGCGAAATGCTTACCGATCGTCGCAAAGTGATTTTCGCCCTATTAAAACATCGGTATGCAATCGCATTAGCGGATTCATCATTAAATGGTGCGCTCGTTATGCGAGGCACCACTGTACAATAAATTCCTGAAAGAGACAGGAACAGATTGTACCTCATCATTTAGTAATACTTACTGTACTCAACCCTTTTCTATCTAGACTGTTCTCTAGATTCCTTTCTGTTGAAGGTATTTGTGACTGCTTGATTTTTAGATCCCTTTAACCTTCTTGCCCTAACCCAGCAATGGTGAACCTATGGCACGCGTGCCACAGCTGGCACACGGAGCCCTCTCTGTGGGCACCTCAGCCATAAGTCACCATCAAGAAATGCTTACCCATCCTCCAATCCTGGATTTTGGAACTCCCCTCTGCTGGTGCAGTGGTCCAGCAGAGGGGTGCAATGGCGACCATTACTGGTCTAGTCCAATGGGGGATTGGAGGACTGGTAATTATTTCTTTGGTAATACCGCCCATAGGAAAAAAAACACAAGCATTTAACCCTTGCAGTTCAGGAGCAGTTGTTTTTTTCTAAACTAAAACCTCAGTATTCTGGTTTTAATTGCAGTGTTGGCACTTTGAAATAAATAACTTGATTTTGTGCTGCAGTTTGGGCACTTGGGCTCAAAAAGGTTCACCATCACTGCCCTAACCTATAGTAGCTACAAAGCAGAAATATAGTATTATAAAGAAACCACCTGTTCAAACCTTTCAGACAGTAGGAATGCAATTTAAAAATATCAATAACCATGTAGATTAGCCTGATCTAGTGGACATTAGCCCTTTTATGTCATTATAAATGCCAGTACTGTGAACATGCTTAAAAGGGAGTGCTTGGCCTCATCCCCTCCATCATTATGGATTTAAAACCTGGTTTGAAGTGAAGAAGTTTCTGGATTCTTGCTTACATGTACTGTAAATCCTATGTGCAGGCAGGAACCCCTTCTCTTCAGATCCATCACTCAAACTGCATGGATTTCCTTAAATGTTCAACATCTTATTTAAGTGATTAATCTATTGCTGTAGGAATAGAAGTCTAATCTGTAAGTAAAAATCTAGGAGGTTGAATTCAGATGCACAGAAAAGGGGAGGAAAATATTGACAATACATGTTGCCAGCAAGAGGCTAGTAACTGTCCCCTTTCATTTTCTAGATACAGTACTTGTCATTTTAAAATAATGTTTTCAGAATATGTGGAGCTGCCTCATAACAGAGTGGGATAACATTCACTTATCTCTTTCCTATTGCTTTTTAATGACAGATAACAGCCTCAAGCTGGAATCTCTTAAGGTTCAAGTAGACAGATAGGCTGTCCCAAATTTGTTTGAATTTTCCTGAAACAGTTAAAATAATATACACAATAACTATTCCAGTCTGTTATAGCAAAAGGGAAAGCAACAGCCTTATAGCACCTTTAAGACTAATTGGCTTTGATTTTTATAAACTATCATGTATCTAAGGACGCTTCTTCAGATGAATGAAGTGACTGTGTCCCTGGGGGAATTTAAAACTGTTGGCAGTATGGGTGTGTCATGGAGGACCACAATAGGGTGTGTTGGTCCGTGGTGAAAATCTGTGGCGAATAACAGGTGGTGATTAAATCCACTGCAGTAGGGTCTGACTGAGTGACAAAGGTCCATCTTAGTGGGTTAAGGGCTGTGGTGGCGACATGGAGGACCACAATAGGGTGTGTTGGTCAGTGGTGAAAATAGATACCACCTCGGTGGGAAGGTAAACAACATCCATGTCTAGTCACGCTGGCCATGTGACCACAGAGGATTGTCTGTGGACAAATACTAGCTCTATGGGTTGGAAATGGAGATGAGCACCGCCGCCTAGAGTTGGACATGACTAGACAAATTGTCAATGGGAACCTTTACCTTTTACCTTACATATAATGAAACCATTGTCCTTGTTAAAGTGTAGAGAAAGTGTGCTGAACTTCCTGATGATTTCCCGCACAGTGACCTCCCTTTAGAATCTGTCCTTGAAGTTTGTTTGTTCAAGGACTGCAACTTTGAAGTCAGAGAAGAAGTGACCAGAAGATATGAAGTGTTCACCCCCTGTTTCTGGTAGTTCAGTTCCTAGTGTCCGTTTTGTATCCATTTATTCTCTTATGTAGAGTTTGGCCTGTTTCTCTGATATAAACCAAAAGTGAAGCAATGTCATGGTGTAAATTGCTGTCTAGAAACACCCTTGGTCTTGCTGTCTGAGGTCCTTCTAACTCAATGTGCTAGGAATTGAACTGGAATCTTTTGCATGGAATGCACGTGGTTTGCCAACCACCAATACCTAAAGGCTTTGTCTGCTCTTTTAATCATGTTTTTCATACATTAATCAATTACTAATTTTTACTTGTTAGGTTTGTTTTTATTTTAATTCTTTGCATGGATAAGGAGCATAAGGACATTTCATTGAACAATGTTCTCCCCTCTACCCTATTATTTGCTTTTTTAAAAATAGATACAAATCATTGTGCTGCTAAGTAACTATACACACATTTCCTGATATTCAGTAATATGTCGCAACTGTAATAGACCCACTGGATCAGTGGAAATTCTAGAGGAGATGACTCATCAAATTCCCCACTGATTCAATGGACTAAGCTAGTTGTGACTTACTACTGGATTTCAACCAATGAGTTGAAGGGATGTGATTTCTCCCCTCTTTTTCTAAAGCACTGCAGTTTCTCTATTTGGGTAGTCACAGATTCTATAGGCAGTATCCAATACCAGTACTCCGCTGGTGGAATCCAGAGAAAGTGGGTGTTGCAGAACCACATGGACCTGTAAAATTGAGAGAAGTTTTTTGAAAGGTCTAAATGCTGACGTGGGATGGGGAAGGGAAGGAGTTTCCGTTAAGTGGCACTAAAATGCCAGCACATTGGATTTTGGCCTTTCTTTTCATCAGGTATAGGCAACTTTTGGTTCTCCAGATGTTGATAGACTACAGTTTCCATCATCTCCCAACAATGGCTATGCTGGAGTTGCTGGGTGTTACAGTCCACACTATTCAAAGGACCACAGATTGTTCAGTTCTGTTCTATATCCATTATATTTCAACCAGATTTCATATGTTTGTATGTGTATGCCCTGAAATATTAAGTGTGTACATGCTTGGATAAATAAGTCTTTTGCCCTTTAGTTTAGGATGATGTTTGTTGTTCATGATTACTGCTGTAATTGAGCATTGAAGGCAAAGTCTTCATTTAACCCATCTTCTGTTGCAGTCATCGTTATCAAACAGCGATATCATCTTTGTGAAGTTGCATGCACCGTGGGAAGTGCTGGGCAAATATGCAGAGCTTATGAATGTAAGAATGCCTTTCAGGTAGGTGTAGTTATGTTTTGGGGTTTACTGCCCTTTTTTATACCTAATATGAAAAATGAAGTGCAAAACATATGTTTGCTGCTTCTGGTTATTAGTGGGCAGCAATTTCAATTCGGTTTCAACTTTAAATGATGGAGGTGTATAGCAGTGCCACTATTTTCATGGGGTGTTCTGTCCTTAGGCCCTTTAACCCTTTCACTGCTGGAGCCCCCTGCATACTCGTGCCCTGCTGTTTTTTAAATGGACATTTCTTTGAAAACAATGGAAGGTCAAGAAGATCCAGGTACGTACGGCAGCACAGAAAGTGCATGCCTGTTAGACGTATCTGGCATATTCGACATGTGTAATTTGCCAGTATGTGTGCTACTTTGCTAGGGACAAAGATCACATACGTATTAAAGTATCTACAAGACAGTAGTAGTATCAAAATGAATTAGTTGGGGTTTTTTTGTATTTTAAGAAGAATGGTTAAAATATTATATAATCTTAGTGACAACTTTAATTCAAAAAAGTGATTAATACAATTCGGGTAAATTTAACTAAATGAAATTTTGGGAAGTCAAATATTGTTTGAATGAAAGTTGTTGCTTTTTTAAATAGTGAAAAGCCAATGTCTACTTTGTATAAAATTATACAGAGAAATAGCTTAATATACTTTTGTTGTTTCATTTAAGTTGTTTTATAGTAACATATTCAAATTATAAACATATATCAGCAAAAGTCTTTTAAGTGGAATGTAGTTCTTCCTAACTTGCAGAATGTGTACACTGAAAAATTTAAAAAGTAGCAGTAAATGATGTGATGAAGTTGCTGCAGTCCACAAAAGCTTATCTTATGCCAAATAAAAAGCTCATTGTCAAGGTGTCACCAAACAAGCAATTCCCAAACTTTTCAGCATCATGCTCTCTTTTATGATAAATTCACATCTTCCATCCCTGTTAACAAATAAGAATAATAGAAATAAATACAACCATTCCATTCATTTTAAATTAAAAGTAAGTACAAATGTCATAAAAAGTTAATAAAAATGTAATATAGCTTAAAAATAGAAGAAGAAAAAGAAAAAAAATATATCTTCCACTCACAGCATGACAGGCTTAGGGGAGTTATTTCACACTAAGAAGAAGAAGAAGAAGAAGAAGAAGAAGAAGAAGAAGAAGAAGAAGAAGAAGAATTATATATCTTCCACTCACAGCATTACAGGCTTAGGGGAGTTATTTCACACGAGGGAATTTGGGAGTGTTACCTTTGTAATACTGTGGTCTAAGGGAGTTCTGTGGCATGGCTGGTATGGTGGCAAATGTGGTGATCTGCCTACATCTCACTTCATGTTTCTGATTTTCTCCCAAAAATAGAATGATTACAAATATTCCCATGAGCATCCCAGAGCATCCAGAAAAAATCTATTACCTCCTATATTGTTCTTTCCCTTACCTATTGCTATATATTTAAAGCTACAGATCATGGAACAAAATTTGAAAATAAAAAATTTGTTTAAGCTGGTAACAATTTTGTTGTTATAAAAATCTCAGTCTCATTCTTCCTTCTGGACCTTCTATATTGCTGTCCTTGAGGGTATACGCCCTGCTTTGGGAACCAGTGCAATATAGGATTGTGTTTCATTGCATTGGAAAGAGTTGCTTTGCTGGGAGTATTCTCCCATAAAGTGGCCATTCCATGCACAGAGGAATTGTTTCAACCCAGCTCCAAAAAAGGTTAGCCCTACTGCTGGACCAAAAAAGATTAGAATTAGGCATGGAGCAGGGTCAGGCTGGCTTGTGATTTCCTGTACATCATATGCTTGCTGGAAAATAGCTCATACTGGACCATGCCACAGGCAGTCCAGAATGTGAGCTATAGCTCTGCCTGATCACACCTTAAGATGGGTATCTCCCTGGATATTTAAGCAGTGAAAATAAATACCTACTAAGCAACTACAACCTGTGACTAACTTTCACAGCTTCTAAACATCTCTTAACATCTCTTTCAAGAGCTGATAGGAAACTCTGTCCTTTCAGTTTACTCCTTTCGCAAATCATAGTTGAAAAGATCAGAACTATATCACTATTCAGTTTTCATTGTCAAAGCATGCTCTTCAGAACTTTTCTTTACCCATATTTTAAATCCAAACAGCCAAAATGATATGTCTGTGTATTAAAAGTAATACTCTCAATTGATAATATGGCGTGGTTCTGTTTAGTTGCTGGCCTTAATGAATTTGTGAATCTTTTTGAAACCTAGCTATAACATGCTCCCTGTTCCCCTCCAATACCACAATTGATCATCTGCCCAGGGCTTAAGCTTTTGTCAACTACAGCCCATTTCATTGAACTAAATAAAATGTGTTAGCCCTTAAAACACTGTGAGATTCTTAATTGCTTTTTTGTAACAGACTAACACAACTACCCTTCTGGAATTTGCTTTGTGTATATTATTATAATTTTGCATATGCAAGATTCTGTGGAAGCCTTCATACCCATGAAGAGATAGTGATCAGCATAGAATTGATGGATTAGGTCACAATACCTGGAAACTGTTTTCATTTACAATTTATGTCCAGAAGACGATGACATCAAGCATCAACAGAAAATGGACATTCATTAAAACATCCACAGAAATCATTTAGCATGATTTTATGAACAGTATTGTCCCCAAATTAGAATTTGGAATGGGACGGAATGACTGCTCTGGCTGCCACACTGTGTGGGCTAAACTGGGCATCAACATTAGATAATGGTTAGCTAACAGCTCCAACAGCCCCTCCATAGCATATGATAAACCTTACCTTGTCACTATCCAATATTCTATATTTGTCTACTTACTTCACTACTTTGATAGTGCAGCGATTGAGGATCTTTACACGTCTACTAAATTGAGGAAGGGATAGAAAATACAATTGGTTCATGCTACTGCTTCTTTCACTTCTCAAACATCTTTCCCCGTTATGGAAGCATAAATAGCCTGTGTATTTTACACTTTTGCAATTCATTGCAGTAAAATGGGAAGTTGTATAGGGAAGTTGTTCACAACCTTTTCAGACATCTTCAGGACAGAACTACATTTATCATATGAATTTGTCCCAATGACCCAGGTTCATATGGTGTTCATACCAGAACATTAAGGTAAGCTAGAAAAAGGAAACAGACAATTTTAAATCAAATGGGCGTTCAGGCCAATATAGCTTTATATTTACATTACCAACACTATAAATAGGGGGAAACCTTTTCAGTTGTCTTATGCAAGTACTAGAGAAGCAACTACAGTACTAAATAATATTGCTTACATAGTCCATGAATATCCCCTCTTAAACAAGAATTGAATCTCTAACAAGAGAACCACCTGTAGATATATTGTATGGATAGCTGCAGATAGGCGGGATATAAATAAAATAAAATAAAATAAATAAATAAATAATCCAGTGTCTACCTCATGTGAAGTTTTTTAATTTGAAACTTATACAATTTACCTGATGCTGTAATTAATAATTCAGTGATGGATGTTGAAGCACAGCACTTAATTTATTTTTGCATTTGCCTTCTCAAAAGCTGATATCACTTTTTAGGATCTTTTGAAAGAAAAGTGCCACTGGGTCCCCCTGTTTCCTGCATGACAGACATAGAAGAAAGAAGAGCAAAAAGAACAAATACATATCCTCACTTTTCCCTTTTGTGGGTTCTGTGATGGTTCTTTCTGTTAATCTCTCTTTTTAGTTTCTTCCTCCACCTCTTACAGGCTTCTATCTTCAATCTCCTTTCCTTCCTTGCTAGTTCATACTGTAACTGACGATGGGTTTTCTTCTCGACTGGCTTCATTTTTGCTGTTCTTCCAGGAGAAAAATCTATTACCTGCACCGCCGATACAAGTTCCTGAACAGGTGAGTGATGTTTTTCCTTTACCATGATGACTAGATGACCATGTTAATGAGTTAAAAATATCTAAACTATGGGCTGTTTTTGCTGAAAATTGTGAGATAAGCTAATTTGTAGTCCCAACTGATTGTTACGAGTATTTCTCAGATGTTTGCTCATTCTAATGTGTATATCTTATTTGAATAAAAGAAGCCTTAAATGACTGTTCCCTTATCAAGCCACTTAGAACCAAACATGGCATTGCACTATGCTTATAAATAGCATTTTAAAAAATAAAATAAAATAGTGAATCACATATCAGAATCCTGTATCTGTTCTGCTTAGTAAAGAAAGTTCCCATTCTGAATATATCCTAAAGAATGTGAAGATAAAACCAGGAGGAATTTTTGATATCAACTGAAGTTATACTGTATAAACTTTAAAGATTAACAAAGATTAACAAAGATATAAAAGTCAATGAGAACATGTGAATGGTCTATTGACAAAATAGGAAACATATTCCCACTAAACTACTATTTGGGTTTAATGAAATAATAAATATTTTGAAAATACTTTAAGATAGTTTTGTTCCCCAAATTGTTCAATAAATAATAATCTAAAATTCACCTTTTTCTACAGATCAAAATTTCATACTTCATTCTTAAGATATTTTTAAAATTTTCAGTTTTAGACCAGAATGGAGTTGATTAGTTACACTGGCATTAAGTGCAGTGGCATAAACAGCGAATTACCAGTAGTTAACAAGTCACTGATTGTATCCCTCTTTGTGTACCCATCCTATGAGTTGTTGTGTGATGTGGCATGCTGGCAACAAAATGTACACCATTGCACTTTTAACAGTACCGCCAATAGGATGAATTGATTCTTATGGGAACTATGCGCATGTAAACATCAGAACTTTTAAAACCAATAGGATTCTACCCTCAGTGATAGTCTGTTTCAGACTCTAGACTACCACTAAAGAAGAAGGAGTGGGGAATTACTTAAGAAAGAGGAGACTTCATAGAGATTTTAACAGTGAGCAAATTACCTACATTTTATTGTAGGTGAGGGAAATCTTGCTATAAAAAAAGATTACTATAATGTTACTATAATAAAATAAAGAGCCAAAATACGCTCAAGGATATAGAATTAAAACTGCACAACTACATGTGTACATGAAAGGGATTTGGGAGCTTTTGTTTTACAGGTGGTAAACCTATATGTCATGTGGCAAACCACTTTTGAAACTGACGGATCTTTTGAAAAACTGGGTCAACACCACTGCCTTGCTCATTAATTCCCACAAAGAAGGCTAGTTATTCCTGCCGGGAATCAAAATTCCATCAAACTTGCCAACACCTGTGCATTCAATTACCTCTTTGAATTCCATCCAGAGTGATTTAGTGCTTCAGTTTCCACTTATGGGAACAGATACTCATGTTGTTCAAGCAGAGCACTATTTTCTCTTTATAAAAATATGCTAATTTGGTCAAATCACATTTGGATCATACAAATGGAAGCTTTCTTTTTACACCATAATTCATTGCACTGCCTGAATGTTTCCTGTTTCACAATGCCCAGTACATGTTTATCATTTTTAAAGTTCTGAAAGGTACATGTACATGGTTCTCTGAAATTTCTTCTGCAATTACGTGGCTGCAGTTTGACCAATTTCCAAAGGGTATGTTCAATAGACTAGGCACACGCAGTGGGACTCCCTCCCCCAATCATGGACAGCTTTAAAAGCTCACGTTTAAGACGTCATTTGCCATCTGGTATGAAAGCTGGTGGTTCAGAAGCATAAGGCCAAATGCTACCTAGTCATGTGGAGCTAGTATAATTCTTTCAGGCACAGTCTTTGTTGTTTGTGTGTATGATATATCATATAATAAAGCAAATAAAAATTGCTGCCAGATTGGTTGATACATTAGAGCTAAGGAATAGTAGATTGATTCCAAATGATGTAATTCCAAAACTACATTGCACTTGTCATGAATTCTTGGATTTTTTTTTCTTAACACCAACCAAATATGGTTTTGACTGAAAGGAAAGCTCTGTTTGGAATAGAAGATCTGTGGTGGAAATGCGGACTGCATGACCTCTTTCCCTTTCTGTGGTTTCTCTGAGTCCCATATCCCTAGTCCAATGGAGTGAAAAGCAGTTTCTTTGAAGCAAACAAAAACTGGAACTCGCAGGCTTCAACAGCTCCTCTCCTTTCTTTTCCTTTCTATTTCTTAAAGTGGGATGTATTCATATACCTCCTGTGTAGTTTGGGCTTAAGCATACATTGAAGATACAGCTGTCTGTGTAGCAGGAACAACACAAGTTAGCCCCATGCTGTCTGTATCTCTGCATTTCTTTTCTGCTGGTAGTCTTTCACTTCTGCCTGCTTGCACCTATTGAATGAAAATGATTGCATCTAAGAACATGCATCACGTTCAGCTTTCAAGCCTTATGATTTGACTTCTGAGAGTTCATAAAAATATGTAGCCTATCAAAACAGTGCAGCTGAAACAAACCGATAGGGCTCCTTTTCTAAAACTACATCCTCTGTAGCACATGAATGGTTGGCAAACAAAAGCAAAATAATGAATCCCCCTAAAGTTCTGCTGTCTGAGCTTTCCATTGTGGTATGCCAGATGAGTGAAAGTCTCAATTCTCTTCCCTTCCCTTTATGAGGCATATCTCAAAGTATTCTTGAAGGCTTTCACGGCCGGGATCTAATGGTTGTTGTAGGTTTTTCGGGTTGTTTGGCCATGTTCTGGAGGTTGTTCTTCCTAACATTTTGCCAGTCTCTTTGGCCGGCATCTTCAGAGGACAGCAGAGATTGGCGAAATGTTAGGAAGAAAAACCTCCAGAACATGGTCAAACAGCAAAAAAAAACCCTACAACAACCATCATATCTCAAAGTGTTTGCTCTATGCTGTGCAATGCTGATTTGACAGTGGTATTTCAGTTTTATAAACCGCATGAATCATCCGTATGGTTTTGGTGTACTTTTGCAAGGTGGTGGGAAAATGACCATCCGTGCATAACTGCCGGCTTTTATTGTCTCCATTATTGCATACTTGTATGAAATGTATGTCTTGGTTTAAAGTTATTGACAGATTTATATGTCCTTTGGTCTTCCCTTTCATACGCTGCAGAATTGAAAAACAATTAAGCAGGTTTCGAGGATGGCTGCCTAAAAAGCCAATGAGGCTGGACAAGGAAAGACTGCCCGACCTGGAGGAGAATGACTGCTACACTGCCCCATTCAGTCAGCAAAGGATTCATCAGTGAGTCTTACAAGTAAAACACTTTTTGAGATTAATAGGTGTTGTTTTTGGTTTATCCGCGGGGTAGAAAAAGTCTTAGCCTGTAAATCATGGATATGGTCTTACTGCGTGTTGTTTTTTTAATTGCTCTGATATTGCAATTTACACCTTATAAAAGAGAGCAACATGGTTAGTATAAAAACATGCTATAAATTAAATCCTGTACAAGTGGGTACTAGAACAAAACTGGCATGTGTATGGGATTGAGATCCAGCCTAGTAGTAGTTAAATGTCCTTGGTGAATGTTACAGAAAATGAATGAATGCTACCAGAAGCCAAAGCAGTAAAGGCTAAAATCTTCCTTTTTGCTTCTACTGAGCTTCAAGTAAATATGAGTTGTATACACATTTATTAAAAGATAATGCTATGTTTGGTCCGAGGCTAAAGTTTGCAAACTGAAATGTTTCCAGTCCACATATATCAAAGATTGGCTTGTTCCCAGATGCAGTTAGTTTAAGCCTGTTCTTTAGATAGCAGTTTGATGTAGTGCATTTATTCTGCCTTATTAGGCTATGGAACATTTCAGTTTTCCAACTTACCAGTTAACATTTATTTCTTAGAAGAGCTCTTATGTAACAGAAGTGTAATGTTTCTGTTGCTTGTTGGCATTTTAAAAATGAAGTTTGAAGATGAGTGGAAACCCTTGTCATTCAAATGCCCTGCCCCTGTTGTATCACTGTCGATCCGCATGAAACCTGCTTGTGTGACCCTAAACGAAGAATGAAAAGAAGGAGGCCCTGGAGCTGCCATGTCCTCCCAAGGCTATACTGTATTTGTGGGCCCTGTACCTATCTAATATCTCTCCCATCAAAGAGAAAAGAAGGAGGCCCTGGAGCTGCCATGTCCGCCCAAGGCTATATTTGTGGGCCCTGGACCTATCTGATATCTCTCCCATCAAAGAGATATCTTTTCCAGAAAAATATAAAAGGATAAATGCCCACTCATTGGGATCTTCCAGGAGCCAGCCATGCAGCATTTAAATAGGTCAGACCTGCACCCTGTAGCATTTAACATCCCCCCAAAACTCATTGTTCAAATTTTGCAACCATTTCTGGTTTTGGTTTTCCTTCTTTTTTATGTTTTAAAAATGTTAACAGTCCATGTGGCCCCCAGAGGATCACAGGCAGAAATCGGCTCCTTTACCCACCATAATTGCTTGCCTGCACCCTAGACGTGGCCCCCAGAGGATCACAGGCAGAAATTGGCTCCTTTACCCACCATAATTTTAGATCTCTTCATGGCAATTGTATAATTGGAGTTGTCCTCTATCCCCATGATATACCTAATGTCATACGTAGCTTTATCATATGCATGTTTATTCTGATGTTAATCCCACTGTGTTCTGTAACTTGTGCTGTCAAGTCAATTCTGACATATGGTGGCTCTTTCCAGAGTTCACTTCTGGGGGTACCCTGGGACTGTGCAGCTTGCTCAAGGCCACATAGGCTTACTCTTCACTTGCCCAAGGCCACATAGGCTTGCTCTTCACCCAAGAGGCACAGCGGGGAATCAAACGCCCAACCTCTGGCTCTGCAGCCAGAGACCTAAAACCCTGAGCTATCCAGCCAGCCTTACCCCCAGGTAAATTTGCCCAGAGATCAACAATTTTAATCCCCTAGTCAGCTTGGATAATGCCATACAGGATGGGAGCTGTAGTCAGAAAAAAGTATTCCTCCCCCCCGCCAAAGATCTGAATAGGTGTAAGGTTTGTCTAGGACTCATAAAAGTGCCATAGTTCAAGGATAAAACACATACTTTACATGGAGAACAACTAAACACCAATCTCTGGCATCTCCAATGAAAACAATGAAGTAAGAGAGAATAAGGAAAATCTCTGTGCCAGAGCTGGTGACGGTCAGGTAGATAATACTGGAAGAGTGCAAGACAGTTTCCTATGTGCCCTTAGTTGTAGCCTTTTGCTTAGCAAACACAAGTGGCCTGTTCAAGTAACATTTTTCAAGATCTGTTTCAGTCTAGCAACCTGTTAATATCCCCTTAGTGTTGTCCAAGCTCTTGTAAACATCCTTTAAAACAGGGGTCCCCAACTCCTGGTCCACGGCTCAGTGTTAAAACAGGGGTCCCCAACTCCTGGTCCATGGCTCAGTGCCGGTCCGTAGCCTTGGCAGGACCAGGCTGTGGAGACAGATCTCCTGCCCCACACACACACTCTCCCCACGCACACCCATCCACACACACAGCACGCACACCCACAAGCATGGGTGCCCCGCCCATCCACAAGCGTGCCCTGCCCACCCATGAGCACACCCTGCCCATCCATGTGAGCGCACCCCACCCAGCCACGAGCAGATCTGTGAGTGCGGGGGGGGGCGCCAACTGGTCCGATGTTCAGAAAAGGTTGGGGACCACTGCTTTAAAGAATGATTTCATAGGCAACATTTCCCAGGTAACCCTGCTGAGGAGAAATGCCACATTATCATTATTGGTTTAACTTTTTTGTGTGTTCTGATGTGATTATGTCAGACATAGCAGTGACACTGTTATCTATTGTCATGACTAATAAGCATTTTCCTCACTTGTGATGTTTTCAAAAACAGCTTCATCATCCACAACAAAGACACTTTCTTCAACAATGCGACAAGAAGTAGAATTGTTCACCACATTTTACAGAGAGTAAAATATGAAGAAGGGAAAAATAAGATTGGTAAGTGTGGGGCACCACCAGATGTTACCTTGTTACCCTTTTGCAGTGTCTATGATGATGATTTTAAAAGAAGCTATTGCACCCCTATTATTCCTGATCTGTTTCTTGTGTCTTTAGAGTTCAGATGTTAGCCAGTTCATAAGGAACTCTGAGCAACATGTGTGCATAAGGATGATTTCTGGACATGTTCTCCCTCTTTGGTTATAATATTCTGCAACTGTGCCATACCTTTGAAGAAGTGTTATTATTATAATAACCACCACTACCTGCAGTATGTTGAATATTTTTTGTTTTTAGGTCTGAATCGATTGCTTACTAATGGCTCCTATGAAGCTGCATTTCCTCTTCATGAGGTACATTTTCCCTTTTTCTGTTTTTCTTAGAGGTTTCTTCCAATCTCTTCCACAAATTACTTTTACCACTGTTGTCATCTGTCTCATTAATCTTGATTTTCACTGATTTATGAGGCGAGCCAAGCTCACTCTTATTTCTAGGGACAAAGGAAACCTGTCAGACAAATGCAGTTCCTTTTCTGGGTATATTTGCCTTTCAAACACAGAAGATTTTCATAGCATTCTATGGTATGGTAAATATCTAGGAAAACTCAAGGAAACCAAATTAAGACTTCAAAGAATAGCTTGCACCCAGAGATTCTGAAAATGATACTCAACGCTGGCTAGTTGTAGGGAAGCTTCAGCTTATTGACCTTATTCAAGCCATGGAATCTCCACCCCAATATCTCTTGCAGTTACATTCCACATGCTCTGGAATCTATCACTGTTGTCTTTGATCAGTAATTGGAGATAACAGTGGAGACTCCCCTATATTTGGGGTGGCAAACACAATATGGAGGAGAAAATAGTGTGCTAAGTGCTGCTGCATATGCCTGTGTCCTTTTCAATGAAAAGAAGTGTGAAATGGACAAAGTCATTGCAACCAAGAATGTGGGGAGAAGTGTTCCTTCACCTACTGCTGTTTTCCCATGGTCAGTCCCACCTTTAGCTGGATCCCGGGTAAAATCAAGGAGTGTGACCCTATTTCAACATTAGTGTTGTGATCATACATCTTGTTACCAACTGGCCTATAGAAGTGGTGGTAGAGAATTATCTGATTCCTACCCAAAATAGGTACACCTGCTTTAGAAGTCTGGAAAATGGTGGTGGTAGAGAATTATCTGATTCCTACCTGCTTTAGAAGTCTGGAAAATCATTAGTCAGACTTGAATTCTACTAGTAAATTAGAGCAACTATATGAATGGGGCATTGGTGTCATTATGTGCTCATTCCAAGTGGTGTAGTGTGGGGGAACAGAGAGGTGGTTACCCAATGGCACAACCTTGTTAGGGACAAAACTGCCACCCTTTCATGCCCCCCCATGCTCCATCTTGCTGCTGGGCTGGCCCAATTGGCTCCATCCATCCATTCATTCTCTCCATCTTGCTGCTGGGCTGGCCCAATTGGCTCCATCCATTCGTTCTCTCCCCCTCCCTTTCTCCCTCCCACTGCCAGCCCCCTGCCTCCCTGCCTGCTGAGGCTGTCTGGTGAGCAGGGCAGCCATCCACCCCTGGCCCAGCACGAGCATGGCACCAGCAAGGAGAGTGCGCCAGTAGCCTCCATCCAATTGGGGCTGGTGGAGAGGTACAGTTCCTGCTGAGCAGCCAGAGCCATGCAGGCTGGGCTGGGGGTGCCAAGGGTCTGAGCAACACTGTGCCTCTTCATGGCTGCCATTGGGCTGCTGGCAGCACTGAGCCTGGCCAGCAGTATCTTTCCACTGGGCTGGGGGAGGGAGCAGAGTGCAGCTGCACCCAATGTGAGGTAGGCAAGGAGGAGTTGGGGGAAGGAGAAATGATGATGGAGGAGGAGGTGGGTGGCTCAGGGGCATTCCTATTGGGAATAGAGAGAGGAGGGGGACACAGGTCCAAAGGTTGGGGGTTGCTGGCAGCACTGAGCCTGGCCAGCAGTATCTTTCCACTGGGCTGGGGGAGGGAGCAGAGTGCAGCTGCACCCAATGTGAGGTAGGCAAGGAGGAGTTGGGGGAAGGAGAAATGATGATGGAGGAGGAGGTGGGTGGCTCAGGGGCATTCCTATTGGGAATAGAGAGAGGAGGGGGACACAGGTCCAAAAGTTGGGGGTGCAATACTTGCCCCAGGTGCCATGCTGTGCCACTGCTCCCTCCTGCCTGTTTCCACAAGGACATGGAATCTGTGCTCTGTAGTTCTCTTTATCAGAGAAAATGTAGAACACCTCTGCATAAAGTACATTACAATTATCAGAACATGAGGTTGCCTAGATGTTTCCCCAACCATAGTTTGTTGCTTATACTGTGAGCCTTTTTGCAACCGCCTTGCACAGACACAAGCCTGAACCTCCATCCGTGCAATTGCTGGTTCAAGGATGTGCACACATTTCTTGGGATGTGCACAATCATGCAATTAGGATTACACAATGTCTAACTGCAAAGATTATGTCTGGTGAATGCCTTTGCTGTGAAAGGTACAGTGAAACCTTCCTTATGTAATGTTTCTTCTTGCATTAACTCTGAAATCTTGCACTAAATCTTCTGAAGGGGAATCCGCACCTGTTATGTTTACCCCCTGTGAATATGGCTAGAGGCATTCTAAGGGGTCTAGAAGTTTTAAGTTCTGAGGAAACTTAGTTTTAAAAAGAGTCTGTTAAAAATATTATTAAATAGCATCTTTTCCCACATGGATTGTATGTGTTAAAATATCATTGAGAATGCTTAAAGGCATGGATATTTTGTAACTAATTTTTCCTTACATATATGTATTTTTAGGGTAGTTACAAAAGTAAAAAATCCATACGAACCCATGGGGCAGAAAACCACAGGCATCTACTTTATGCATGCTGGGCTTCGTGGAGAGCATGGTATAAATACCAGCCTTTGGATCTTGTACGGTAAAACTTTTTGAAAAACTCCGTTCTTAAATTTATTCTATATGAATACATGTATTTAGTACTCCAAGTAGCAGGGAAACATGACATTAAGGTTGAATCCTAAAAATATCTTTAAGGGGTAAACACAAGTCTTTTGCTTTCTTCACCAGTTGCTGATGTCTCCCAGTTAGATCCTATCAAATATCTAAGTGCATCTTTGTTTTTCAGTGGCTTCATAAGTGTCCCAATCACTCTGTAATCTGTGTTCAAAAATCTCAAAGTACTTCCAAAGATGAAGGGTCCTGCAGTTTTACCATGTGGTGTTCCATTTTGCATCACTTATGGATGCCCATTAGAAAAGGTGATATCTCCACAAAAGTGATATTTTTTCATTGCTCTTGAACAATTTACTTAAGCGCATTCTACAGTTCTATCAAGCTAGATCTCTGGCAATGGTCAATCCAGTATCATCATCTTGGATGGCATCTTGCCCACTTAAGGACTGCAGTATGAAGTCACAAGACTGAACACAATATCCTTAGATTCAAAAGCTATGGCTCTCGTCTTAACTCTAAATTTTAATAGAAATGCTGAAAATGAAATATGCCAACCACCTGTCCAGTCCTCCATCCCAAATGTGGCACTACATTTGTGTTGCAGGCAACACCAGGGGTTAAAGTTCAGGTCATTGTTTTGCTAGTAATTTACTGTGCTCCATTAATGATGGAGAACTATAATAAATATACTTTCTGTGAATTTACCTATTCGTTTCAGCTAAGCTCACTGAATCAGTAGTGCCTACATATGTGTTGATTTGCAAAGAGTTTGCAATTTAAAGGAAAGTAGTCCAAGAATATCTAATAAACTTCTGCTTCAGGGTTGGCAGTCTTATACAACATGTTGAAAAAGCCCGTACATTGAGCTTTTGATGTCATGGAAAATGACAGCCTCAAAATGGAGGGGATAATAACTATTTCCCCAGTACAGCACAACAACTGCAACAGTTAACTTGAAAGTTCTGCCCAGCTGAAGTCTGAAAGCCAGGGCTGCATGGGCACATTTTTATAAAGTCCCCTGAAGCTGTGAACACATATTGCTCTGAGACACTAATTAGTCTCTAAGCTGCTCCTCCTCTCCATCTTATTGCTTTATGTTTCCTTAGGTTTTCTTCCGGTCAGGATATTGATTCCTTCCCTTGCCAGAAAAACAAAATTAGAATTTTATGTTGACTATACGTTACTTCAGAAGCAAGCACAGTGCTCTGACATTATCCCTTCGTTCTCATGGTTGCTTTGTATCTGGCTTGGTATCTTTAGGAAGTATCAATCAGGCCTGAGTGATATACAGTACAGAAAGCTATAGAGGCCCACAATATGCAGAGTTCAAGGGTCAGGAGAGGTCTTACATATCCAATGCCACTTAATATACATACATTGGAAAAGCTTCATTTGCCATTCCCTGTGAGATATATAGTGGGAAGCGGGAAGCCATGCACACTGCCTTGAACTCATTGGATGAAATGTAGGATAGAAATATAACTAATATTTAAATTATATGGCAAATGAAGGTTTCATAGTTGTATGCATTAAGTGACATGGAATATGTATCATAGCAACCCTGTGAAGTAGGTAAGGCAGAGAACTGGTCTAAGGTCACCCAGTGAGTTTCAAGACTCATAGGGACATTCTAACCATCATAACACAATGAATGTTTTCAGTACATGTTTGTTCGTGAACTAACTGCTCCCATCCTCCCTGTGAATTCTGGAAGAAGTCTGGGCTGAACAGTCTGGCTCAGTGCTGAACTTAAATCACTTATTCAGAGTGATTCAAAATGTGTGTTTCTGGCTGACAGTGGCTCGTAATAAGAGTTCTGCATGATACCCATTGATCAATCTGTTATCTCATCTCTACTTCTGAGAGATTAAAAAATAAATGAGCCAAAGAGACTAAATTGCCCTGTCATCTCATCTGTGGTGAAGTTTCCCAGATCATATTGAATTCACATTGCTAGAAGACTGAGAAAGTTTGTTCCATCATTCTTGACCCTAGTAATAACACTGAAGCCTTAAATCTGCATTGCTATCAGTCTGGCACTATCTGAAAATAGAAAACAGAAAAACACAAATGTATGGTGGTGGATATTTGGCTCCATAATACTACGTGCAAGAAGAATTTTGGAATTCTTGTAGATCGCAAGCTGAATATGAGCCAACAGTGTGATGTAGCTGCAAAAAAAGCAAATGCTAGTTTAGGCTCCATTAACAGACATATAGTTTCCAAATCACATGAAGTGCTAGTTCCTCTCTATTCGGCACTGGTTAGACCTCATCTTGAATACTGTGTCCAGTTCTGGACACCGCACTTTAATAAAGATACTGACTAGCTGGCTCAAATTCAGCAGACAGCAAAAAGAATTATCAAGGGATTAGAAACCAAGCCCTACAAGGAAAGACTGAAAGAACTGGGCATGTTCAGCTTTGAGGAGAGATATGATCAAAATTACCAAATACTTGAAAGATCGTCATAGGGAAGAGAGGCAGAATCTGATCATCATCCTAGAGCTCAGGATATGTATTAATGGTTTCCAGTTACAGGAAGCCAGATTTTGGTTGAAAAAAACTTCATAACTATTACAGCAGTACAACAATGGCACCAATTACCTCAGTAAATGATGAGCACTGCAATGCTGAAGTCATTCAAGAAAAGAAAAATCAGACAGTCATCTGCCAGGTATACTTTGATTTGTATTCCTGCATTGAGCAAGGGGCTGGATTCAGTGGCTGATTTAATATCAGTTTGATTTTTGCTAGTTGACCACTGAACGTGCCACCAGTAAATCAAGTGTGTAAACAGAATTACATAGTTCTATGTGGTATATGTCCTTGGATTTTAAAGGTATTTTTTAAAAAGTAAATATCTACAAGTTTTGATAGAGCCTGGTTGACCCTTCTTTTTGCACAAATGTATTTTACAAGTTCTTACTATAAAGATAGCTAAAACAGTTAAATATTTTTGACTGATTCAAATAGTTAAATATTAGAAAAATAGGTAGTTTCTTCAGTTGGTTACCCAGCTACATTGGAAAACACGTGCAGGACACTCAGTTTCTAGTGTTAGGGTTCATCAGTATCTTACTTAGGTTCTTGTGGAGGAGTTGAATACTTGCATGGAGTCTCTCCTTGTACATCTGTTAACCATTCACTACTTGTGCACAGTTATGCATGCACAGCTAGATCCACTGATTGAAGCAATGGCTCTTGCTACCCTTTTGCCCAGTCCCCTGCAACCCTGCACAGGCTTAAGTCATCAACATTATTAATGAAAATCAGTCCTAAGTAATTAGGTATGCACCAGGCTCCCAACTGGAGAGACGCAGTGATGCAAAGCAGACCTCAGAGTGGTACCTTGCAGGACGTGAAGATTGTCCAGTGAAGTCCATTCATTGTTTATTGATCATTTTTGGCTAGGGCACACTTCCATGTTCTTGTCAGTAATGCTCAATGAACACTTTTGGCAGGGTTGGGAGAATGAAGAGTCTGATCTATTGATCTGTTTGTGTACAGTATAGTCTAATTGCTAGTCTGAATAATAATTCTTCTTTGAGTGGTAACAACTCCTGTTGGAAGAAACATTAAGATGATACTGTTTAGCTACACTGATGACCACATGCAGTGATGACCTTCTCGGTCCCAGTCATAAACAGAGAATATTTTGGTGCACCTGATATCAAAACGGCAGTACTACTTGCAGCAGCATGTAAAGGACTTGTTACAAAGACGGGACAAGGCAGAGAATTCAGAAGGAGAAAGAAGAGGACATTTGGCAGAAGTAACTTTGAATCAATAAGAGAGCAAGAGTGAAAATATCCATTCTTGGAAGTGGATAACAGCATCCCGAAGAAACCGCAGCTTAATGTGTTGCTTCTACTTTGTTCCACAGTGTTAAATTATAGACTTGGATTCAAGGAGGCCATGTAAATACTTGCTGTAAATCTCACAAGCTTTATGTTTTCCCTCTCACCAGAGCAGACACAGATTGCTATTCAGAATGTTAGCCAAACAATTAGGACAAAATGTTTGCTCATGCAGGGAAGACAGAAATCTGCAGCAGTTGCCAGTATGTCTTAAAACTGCCAAGCCTGCCGTCCTTGTGACAAAGGGCCACATTATGATTATATGGTAGGTTTTTCTTTTTTAGACAGAAAATGCATGGGGCCTTCCAAGCCGCTGAGGAACTTTTAAAAAAATTGACTATATTTGGCACAGTGACACCAGACATCAGGGGAAATAATTAGAACAGCCCACTTATGTTAACCCAATGCACAGTATGAATTCAATGCAAGTGGACAGTTTGATTAGACTGGTTGCTTGCTTGTAGGGCTGCCATACAAGTTGAGCTAATTATTCAAAGCCAAGCATTGCCCTTTGTCTTCATACTATTAAATGCTGAAAGGATACATGTGGTGAAAGAGCCTGCAGGCTTCCAGGCAACATGAAGAGGAAGAGGGAGTGTGTGTTGCCATGCATTTTGGAACATGTTGCATATGGAACATCAATATTTGCACTAACATAAGTTTTTCTTTTAATGTAGTCAAGATCAGGTTTGTGGCCCTAATAATCAACTAGGGAATGATATTCTGTTACTTATATAAACGTCTTCAGTTAACACCTCATGAGAACTTCTAGGCAATGTCATAAGATATATATTCAAAATAGGAAAAGATTTAGAAAAATTTTGTGATTGATTAAGTGCTCCATATCAGTGATTTATTAAACATGCAATGCTGTAAGATTCTTTGCCATAATATAAGATATATGGTAGTGCAGTTCTTACAGAATTAGTGTCTGGAAACAAATGAACAATTAGTAGGATTCTATGTACTTGAAAAGCTGTCTAGATAGCTCAGTGAGTTAGGTTTCTGGCTATGGAACCAGAAGCTGAGAGTTCAATTCCCACTTTGCATCGCAGAAGAGCCAGCCTGTGTGGCCTTGGGTGAGCTGCACAGTCCCAGGGTGGCCCCAGAAGAAGGGAAATGTACAGTGTTGCCTCTCTTGATGAGGATAATTCGTTCTGTTGAAATCGCTGTTAAGCGAAATCCTCGTCAAACGAAATGAAAAAGCCCATTGAAATGCATTGAAAACCGGTCCAATGCGTTCCAATGGGCTAAATACCTCAGCGTCCAGTGAAGATCCTCCAGAGGGGTGGCCATTTTCAGTGCCTGTAAAGCGAGGAATCCATCCTAAAGCACAGCGGGGAGCCATTTTCCACAGGAGGTGGCCATTTTAGAGCCGCCGATCAGCTGTTTTAGAATCATCATCTAGTGAAAAATCGGTTCCCGAAGCAGGGAACCGATCATCGTGAAGTGAAATTTCCCTATCTAAACATCATTTCGCACTCGCTATTGTGCTTGCAAAAAAACTCATTGTAAAGCGAATTCATCGTTTGACGAGGTAATTGTTAAGTGAGGCACCACTGTAAACCACTTCTGAAGATTCTCTACCTAGAAAACCCTGAAAGTGGTTCCCGTAAGTCAGAATTGACATGATGGGACACAATTATTGTTATGTATTTGAAAATGTTATAGCCTAGTACCCAGCAGTTTTAATTTCTAATTGATTCCCAATCCTTATTTCATGTTAATGTTATTTGTGGGGTTCACATTGTGGCATCCTAAATTCCCTTTTATGTTAAAAAATGAACCTAAATGTTACTACAAAAATGTTCAACACATTCTCACCTTGTGTTTTTGACAGACGGTACTTCGGTGAGAAAATTGGCTTGTACTTTGCCTGGTTAGGCTGGTACACAGGAATGCTCTTTCCAGCTGCCTTCATTGGATTGTTTGTCTTTTTATATGGAGTAGCCACACTGAAGCACTGCCAAGTCAGGTGACGTAAAAAAAAAAAAAACTTTGTTAACTTGTGTGAATGCTGTGTATATTTTTATACTTTTTGCCAATGCTTAGAGAAATAAATAAATTAGGTCCTTGAAGTTCAAGATCAGTCCTAAGTTCAAGGCCGGCCCTGGTCCATGGATTGCAACTTCATCTGTTGCTCCTTGCAGCATTCCACATATGAAGGTGTTGTCAGGAGGGCAGCTGATGCTCACCAGGACTAGTAGGATAAGAGTGCCCAATAGGAGGCGAAGCCCAAGTGAAAAGTGGGCGGAGAAGACAACTGATTCTGGCTTTGTCTCCTTTCTGCTCCTTTACAATGGCACTGTTGCACAACAGTTTTAATACGTAACATCTGAGTAAAATGGTCTTATTGGTTGGTTCAGTAGCATTTGACAATATAATCGACACACTTTCTAGACCTGCTCCCTCTTTAAGTCCTGTTCCTCCAGTTCTGGGTGAAAGAATATAGGGGGATTTTGAAAAGGGATATTTGATGGCATGGCTACACATAATTCACTGACACAGTTGCTCTGGTTTAGTCCTTTATTAGCCTCAGAAGTAAAATGGGACTAGTGCCTTCTGGAATGTCCTCTGAATAATCCTCTGCTTTATTCCTTAAGAGTCCAGTGAATGCCACCCATTCACCATTTGTGAGTTATAGTTTGATTCATCTGTTTTTGTCATCTGGACAACTGCCTTCTGTACACAATTTTAGGTGTCCCTGCTTTCTCATTGTGTCTGATGTGTTGGCTCTGCTTACTGATCTGCCAGCCTCCATCCCCTGGGACATCAAATTCTGCTCCTTGGCACTTCCAGGAATATGCCTATTGCCATTAGCACAGTGCTAGAGGAGATACGCTGCTTGTGTGCCAAGTATGGATGGGAAGATGACCTCAACAGAATTATAAGAATTTGTGGCAGCATCTGATGCTTCTAGAAGCCCATCACCACCCTGTCACACAGAGCTATGAGTCACCTGTCTTTTTTTTTATGCATAGAGCCTCCCCCTTTTTTATTATTATTAATGCTACTGATTGTAAAGGGGGAAAAGCATTGGTCTTTTCATACTCAGATGGACAGGAGGGAAAAAAATCTCCAATGTTGTGGTCTTTTCATACTCAGATGGACAGGAGGAAAAAAATATCCACAATGTTGGCAGAACCATAGAAAAGTGAAGTTGGAAGTGGCCTATAAGGCCATCAAGTCCAACTCCCTGCTCAATGCAGGAATACAATCAAAGCAGATCTGCCAGGTTTTTTTGGGGGGGAGGGGGGGAATGCCTCCACTGTTGCAGCACTCACCAACATCCGAGGTAACTGGTTCCACTGTCACACTGCTCTAACAGTTAGGACGTTTTTCCTAATATTCAGCCAAAATCTGGCTTCCTTTAACTTGAGCCCATTGTTTCATGTCTCGCACTCTGATATGATCCAGAAAAGATCTTGGCCCTCCTCTGTATAACAGCCTTTCAAGTATTTAAAACATGCTATCATATACTTTCAAGTATTTGAAACATGCTATCATATAACCCCTTAGCCTTTTTTCTCAAGGCTAAACATGTCCCATCCTTTCAGCCTTTCACTCAAGGCTAAACATGTCCCATTCTTTCAGCTTTTCCTCATAAAGCCTGGTTTCCAGCCTCCTGATCATCCTTATCACCTTCTTCTGAACTTGTTCCAATTTGTTAGCATCCTTCTTGAAGTTTGGTGTCCAGAACTGGACACAATACTCAAGGTGAGGCCTAACCAGTGCTGAATGGATGGGGACTAGCACCTTGCGGGATTTGGAAACAATACTTCTATTAATGCACCCTAAAATAGCATTTGCCTTTTTTTATAGCCACATCACACTGTTGGCTCATATTTAGCTTGTGATCCATGACAATTCCAAGATCATTCTCACTCGTAGTTTTGCTGAGCCAGGTATCCCCCATCTTGTAACTGTCCGATTGGTTTCTTTTTCCAAGGTGAAGTACTTGCACGTATTTCATTCTGTCACTTTTGACCCAGTGCTCCATCCTATCAAGGTCATTTTGATCTTTGTTTCTGTCTTCTAGGGTATTAGCTATTCTGCCTAATTTGGTATCATCTGCAAATTTTACAAGCATTCCTGCACTCCCTCATCTAAGTCATTAATAAAAATATCGAAGAGCACCGGGCCCAGGACTGAGCCTTGGGGTACTCTACTTGTTACCTCTGAGTATGATTCTGAAGAAACCTGTACTGAACACAAAAATGGAATCTGCTTGGAATCTGTTAAAAATTCATCTCTCTCAGCATTTGATGCAACTGCCACTTTATAGTCTTTCATAATGTCAGATGCTGAGTATAATGAAAAATCACATAGCTCTGCAAAACAACTCTAGAAAGCTAGCTAGCTAATGGGAGAATAGGAAGATCATGTAGTGAAAGAATGCCCTTCTGTTATCGAAAGGATACTGGGGATAGTATCATTGCATCTGAATAGCTGCATAAGTATAGAGATTGGTGGTTTGTGTCCAAATTTTTATAGATACACAGTTGATTCCTATGCATATATGCATCAACACTGAGCTTGAATTAAAATGTTTCACTGCAGCTTTACTATTTTAGATAACATGAAGAAAGTGACAAGATTTTTGCTTGCTCATCCCTTTGCTGTCTAAAATTATGGAAGCTCTTTGAAGCATGCTAATTCTAAATTAAGCTGTTAATCATTATGTCTTCTCTTTTCCAGTAAAGAAGTCTGCCAAGCTACAGAAATTATAATGTGTCCTATATGTGACAAATACTGCCCCTTCATGAGGTTATCAGATAGCTGTGTCTATGCCAAGGTAAAAATTAAAAGTACTTTAAAAACTCTAAGGCCACAAATTTTTTTAACAATTTAGTATCATGAAACACTGTTTGCTTTAAAAAAAGGAATAAAATTGTTATGAAATACTGGACTGTAGCAGTAAAATGTATGTTTTATTGTGCATCCAAGGAACTTAAGAGTTTTGGTTTTGAGTAAGAATTTCTGAATGAAACATTAAGATGACTGTTTGTCTCCAGGTAACACATCTTTTTGACAATGGAGCTACTGTCTTCTTTGCTGTTTTCATGGCAGTGTGGGGTAAGTCCTGCTTTAAGGATGTAACATATTCAGTACTCTTTAATTTAGACTGTGTGCTATGCAGTCAATTCATTCTAATTGGAGCACATCAGGTTTTAATATCATCAATATTCTAGTGAATGCCATCATTCCTGTGTCATGAAGAAGCTAACTACCTATGAGCACACATATGCCCCACCTCTGGCATATGTAACATTAACTATTGACAGCCACTGGTATGGTGTAGTGGTTGGATTCTTGGACAAGGACTCAGGACATTTAGACTCAAATCCCCACTCTTTTTTTCTTCCAAGCCTTGGGCTAGTTATATTCTCTCGGCCTGATCTGTCTCACAGGCCTATTGAGAAGGTTAAAGGGGATGTTGTGTGGAGAGGAGACCCTTTCACACCCGCTTCAGCTAACTGGAGGAAAGACAAGATACAAATTTGACATGAATTTCCTCAAATAGATAACAATGCCTTTGCTCAATTAAAATTAGTGTGCCAGTTGCATTCATTCCTGAAGAGGTATGATGTGGTCGTGGAGACACATGCCTTAGTTACATCCCAGCTGGATTACTGTAACACGCTCTATGTGGAGCTGCCTCTAGAAAGTGCTCAGAAACTTCAACAGGTCCAAAATCCAGCAGCCAGATTGCTAACTGGGGCTAGTGAAAGGGCTCACAGAACTCTCTTGTTACAACTCCATTGGTCCTTTGTTTTTGAAATGGCCGGCTGCCATTCTGTTTCCAGGCACAATTCAAAATGCTGGTTCTAACCTCTAAAGCCCTAAATGCCTTGGGCCCAAGCTATCTCAAGGACCACACCTCCTTTTATGAGCCTGCCCAAGTGTTAAAATCATCAGCTTTGAATGTGTTTTTAAATTGCTTTTGTTTACTCTCTTTTAGCGTGGTATTTGTTTGATCTTTTTACAATTTATATAGTTTCTGGTTTTAGCTTTAAATATTTAATTTTGGAAGCTGCCTTGGCTCCTTCTTAAGGAGAACAGGATAAAAATGTTTTAAACAAACAAACAAACAACCACCATGAGAAAGGGTTGCTCCACAAGCTTTATAGCAATACAAAGAGTGTATAAAGCAGATAACATAGTCTGGGGCAATCTTGTAGTGTGTAACACATCACTTAGAAGGGGCCTTGAAGGCTTATATTTAACATTCCCCTTCTGCAGCCAAAAAACAGCATTACTATTCATGTTTGTACCTTGCTTTTGTTGAGCAAGATGGAAGATTTTTTTTCACCTACACGGGATGCTAAGTCAGGTACTCCTGTCTTATAAGTTTGTACCATATCAGCTGCAACAGTAATTTTCACACCACTTTTCACTTTTAGGATTCAGAATTCAAGTGACAGATTTATAATAATACATTTGCTTAGAAAGTATCTAATGTAGTAGCTTTGTTAATCTATTGGATCAAGTTGTGTGTTTCCAAGAAACAAGCACCATCTCCTTCAGTTGCATTTCAAAAACAAATTATAAAAATGAACAATAAAATGAACAATTTAAATTTAATACCTCTTTGATGAACTGTTTTCCAAAAGCATTGCTTTCTGAATACCATGGTCATCAAAAGAGTTGTTTGTTAAATATAACTGTTTAGGCAAAAAAAGAAAATGCAGCCTTATTCAACGCTAATGAAATGATAATTGAAAAAGCTTACAATCAGTGGGTTCAAAGTACACAAAAGGAAAATCCAAGGATTCAGAAGAACCTCCTGGTGTATATGAACTTTAACAAATGGAATGTGTTCTCTTGGAATGTCATTGATTCAGTTTTAAGCGGGTGCTGAATAAAAAGTCAGCAGGGATGCTGTGTTAACAGATTTCCTGCACCAGTGGGCATTCGAATAGATGACATTTGAGGTCCATTGTTACTCCATACTTTAATGCTTCTATAACTTGTTTTCTTTCCACAAAGTGACCTTCTATATATTTTCCCTTCTTTTCACTGCTATAGCAACTGTTTTCCTAGAATTCTGGAAGAGAAGACGAGCAGTCATTGCTTATGATTGGGACTTGATAGACTGGGAAGAAGAGGAGGTTTGTATGGATAGGTTTAGCAGCAATGGTAGAAAGATGATTCAGTATGGATGGTTGCAAAAAAGTGAATTTGTACCATGGAGAGAAAAGGGGATTTTTCCAGCACAGAGTTTGTTCTGCTGTTTTAATCTTCTGGAGTTTTTCTGAGACATGGCACTTTACATTAGCTGAGTCACTGAAACAGCAGGAAAATGAAATCGGTCAAACAGTAGTTCCTAAAATAAAGTGATTGACAGTTGTGCAGGCAAAGCTAGGCAATTCTGAAGAATCAGGTGTAATTGTCACAGAGACATGTTACTTTGGAGGTAGAGATCAAGAGAGAACATGATGCTGAGGCACTTACCCCATCCTTCCTTGATTTACTGTGCTGGCTTTTGTCTTCCCATCTTGTTTAAACCAGAGTACTGTCTGATTTGAAATGGGAAACTGCTCTGTTTAAAACTGAGTTATGTCAGATTTAAAAGTAGGAACTCTGGTTTAATGTCAATGTATTATTGAGCTCTTAAATGAGGAACAAACCACTGTTTAAATCCTGGTTTTAAAAAATGACATTAAACCAGAGTTTTCCATTTTGGATCTGACAAGAATTCTTGTTTAAGCTGACCTGGATAAAAGCTGCTGGTGTGCTAAAAAGGAGGAGACAAGAACAGGTGGACTCACTTACTTACTCCATAGTTTTGCAACCCAAGATCATTATACCACCTGAGTTGTATACTCTTAGAGACTTAGTTAGGAATTTAGATTTTTAAGTCTCTGCCCTGAGGGCAGTGGTCATTTTTTGTAAATAGAAAACTGAAATGTCTCAGGTAAAATTAGAAAACATTGCACTACAGGCAGAGGTTTGAAAAAAAAATGCTTTTTAAAGACTAAAACTTGCTGGATTCCCAAAATGGTTAGGAGAATCTCAACACTGTAGACAAAGAATAATTTTACCAAGCTATAGTTACAGGAAAGCTTTTGAGAAGTTGCAAGGCTGTCAGAAGTTTGGTTTGTAGGCAACATAGTACAGTTGCTTAACTGCTAGATCAAAAGTTATTTACTCATACTTGGATAATAAGGACTTCCTTAACAAGCCAAAAAAAATCTCTACCAAGCTGTTTTGTTTTCTGACAAGTAAGACAATGAGTTAGGTGTCTGACTGGTTGGAAGTTCAATTCCCCACTGTGCATATCAAAAGAACCAGCCTGTATGGCCTTGGGCAAGCTGCTCAGGATGTTCCAAGAAGAAGGGAATGGTAAAGCATTTACTGTCTACCTAGAAACCCCCATAGGTCATCTCTTTCTCCCAAAAATATGTTTTTCCTTCCTGTGTTTGACTGTAGCAATTACTAGGGGAACCAGGCCTTCATTGTTCTTGGTTCATCATCATATCTTAGAACTGCATAGCTGGAAGAGACCCCAGGGACCCCTGACAGAGGCACATTGGGGAATCAAACTCCCAACCTTTGGCTCCCCAGCCAGAGACCAAAACCACTGAGCTAACCAGCAATTCTAGAGTGGCAAGCCTGATACCATATTATGCAGTCAAGAGGAAGTGCCCAATTTTGAAATATTATGGGGAATCTCACATGGTGGCTGCCCAGCAAAAGAACTGAATGGCTCAGAATTGGCTGCCATTATAAGTTTTATGGCTGGGTAAAACACGTCTACGGAGGAAAAGGAATGAATGACTAGTAGCAGGAATGCCATACCTTGTCTCTGATACCCATGTCTACAGGCAGGCAAACTGTTGTTGGCTGTATTTGGCAGCAAGAAAATTGACATAGCATGCAGTTTAGCTTTCTGTCACAATTGTCTGTACTATGGTGTTGGACCACACCACTGTAGATCCATCCGAAGACAAAAAGTTGAAAGAGCAAGGAACCCTTGCGTCTTCAAGAAAACATGGGGTTTCTGCTGCTGGAAACTGGAAATTCTACAGTTCTGTTCAACTTTCAAATAATGAGCATTGCTTTTCCCTTTGAGAGATTACAATGCTAGAGGAATTTCTCAGCTGCTGGCAGGAGCAGTAAAACCTTTCTCAGAAAAACTCTGTATTAGTTTCCCAATGAATGCTATTTAATATTTCTAAGCGTAACTAGTCTAAGCCTTTCTTCTTGGCTACACTAAAACATGTATTAATAAAATGATTTGGTAAAACTGAAGAGCTTTGAACCTTATACAAAACTTCTTCTAATTCTACTTTTGAATTATCTATGTTTCTTAGGAAGAAATACGCCCCCAGTTTGAAGCCAAATACTCCAAGAAGGAGAGAATGAATCCAATATCTGGCAAGCCAGAGCCTTATCAAGCATTTGCAGATAAATGCAGCAGAATTATTGTTTCCGCATCTGGAATATTTTTTATGGTTTGACATTTTAAATTCTTTTTAGGTTGCCTGAAAATAAGATTTTCTTATCTCTGTTGGCAAAGTGAAGACTATATGGATTTTTTTTTCTGTTAGTGTTAAGCTGTTTCTGTTTTGTGAAAAAGGTTTCTTTTGGAAAGTGACATCTGAGATCTAGAAATAGGCATTGTAAAAGTATTCCATGCAATATTCCTGAGACATAAGTACTTAATAGTAGATTCCACTAATACCAATAAGTTGTAGGGTTGACTGATTTAATCAGGAATAAAGGAAAAATACACTGCTCTATTGGGACTATGCCAGATCACTATACAGTAACAGGACACCACAGTCAAATAACAACCAACAAGAAAAATAACCCACTGATGGAAGACTGTCAAGGGGAAAGGTATGGGATGGGCCCAGCTCAATGCAGAGCATGTACTTCATATTCACAAGGTCTCAGGTTCAGAGCCTAGCATCTCCAGGTACCAGTTGATGGGTTGGTGTGATCAGTATTTGTATATGTTACATTTCTTGTGACTAGTGCTTTCACAAAGTTGGGCAGTATAGAAATCTCATAAATAAATAAAAGCTTTTACTTTATATGGAGTGAGAAATACCTGATGTTCAAGCTGGATTCCAACAAGGAAGAACTCGAGATCATATTGCAAATATACCTGGCTTCTGGAGTGCACCAAAGAATTTCGGAAAAAGATCAGTCTGTGCTTTATAGACTACAGCAAAGCAGGAAAAGAAGATGGCCAAAGATGAGATGGGTTGGCTGTAAAGGAAGCTGCGGGCTTGAGTTTGGAAGAGCAGAGCAGAGCTGTTGAGAACAGGACATTCTGAAGATAGCTTATTCATAGAGTTGCCGTAAATTGGAGACAACTTGGCAGCACATAACAACAGAAGAAAGCAACATATCTGAAATGCTTCCAGCTTTTCAAAAGATGTATCCAGGATTTAAGTATGTGCTGTGATTTAATTGGTCTTAGTCAAGACTGTGAGTAAGTCAAGTTTATTGAATATTGCTGTTGAAGAGGGTTAATGGCCCAAAGAGCACTGATAAAACGTTTTTCCAAAGCTTATTTTTTAAAAACATCAGTCACAGCTTTATGAAAGATTCATATATTGGAATTAGTTTTTACATAGTTGTATTCTATTTTGCAAATCCATTATATCAACTTAAAGCAGAATATTGCCTTTGTGGGGAGTGGGGTAAAACAATTACCACTGTTGTTCATGGACAGTAAGTCATAATTATTAATCCTTTCTCTGAAGCTTCTAAGGCAAAGTACTCCTCTAAGGACTAGAATTCAGAGGACTTGCTTTGTCTTTATTTTGCTTCCTCTGTCTATTAGGAAGCTCAGTGAACTAGTTTGTCCTTGCTTGTGTTGATTCACCTCTGATATTGACAGTAATATTTTTCCCATTTAAGTAAGTGCTTCATCAGCTGTAGATTCCAGAGCACTCAGCAAGCATTATGCACTTGAGTCAATTCATTTGGGATAGGTGCCCATATTTATGACAAGGATAATCACTTAATTCTCTGCAACTTCATCTAAGACTCAAGTTCTTTCTGCATTGTTTCACATCATTGCTAATTTTCTCCAAGAAGAAAGGGTCATCATAACAGGCTTGGTGTGCCAAGCATAATGTGCCACTTCAACAGTGCAGTTAAGCATATGTCTAAATCTGCGTTAATCAGAAAAGCAATTAAGCAACTGTTCGTTTAATTGCTTTGCTGAACCAGAACCTACTTGGACCTGACAGAGAAAGAGTGGGAAGAGACTCAATAGTCTTAATACAACAAAACAAGGCCAAGTAACCTGGATGGGAAGGAAAGGAGGATTCTACAGTCTTTCTGCCATGCTAAAAAATAGTGAATCTGAAGAAGCAAAGAATTTTTGAAAAGTACTGTACTATATTATCATTCTCCTTTTACATGGGCAATTGAGAGAAGGAGGTCTTTTCCAATGCATGTTTTTTAAATAATGTTTTAGTGAATATATATTAGTTTCTAATCTAAATGTATTTTAACTAATTGTTTAGGAGAAATGTGGGATAAAAATGAAACAGAGAGAGAGAGAGAGAGATACCATCTATTAATCAAATACTTGTACATGAAAAATGGTTTTAAATAAAAATTATTATAAGTAGCCTTGTCTGGATTCAAATATCAAATTTGTCTAACTGTTCATTTGAATATATGCCTACTTCTTTATTGTTAAAATTGTCATCCACTACTTCTGCTGTTGAGAATATTATCCGTACTTCAGTTATGCCTATGGAGCTGTCCTTGGGCATAAGGACAGCTGGTTTAACTGTCCTAGCTGGTTTAACTCTTCAGTCCGTTAATGGCCTTGGGACTAGTCTGTCTATAATTATCTGAATTTCAACTGCTGATTATATTGGAAATAATTCTATTGAATGGGGAAAATGCCTACTTGTTTCATTTTTAGACAATGAATGAATATGTAAACACCAAACGCCATTGTAGAAGGCAATTAATTACATTGTGAAAAGCTTTGGTATTTCTAAAGGGAAATGTTACAGATAACACATAATTAGAAGAGGGAAATCCTAAAATGCTTAGAAAGCCTGATTGTCACACCTCCCACAATTAACAAATTATCATGCTATGGCCAGTATTGCAAGGAAGTAGACCCATTGAATAAATTGCTGAATGGTAAGTCAGTACTTGTGTAAATCCTTTTCTATGGCCAGTATTGCAAGGAAGTAGACCCACTGAATCAATTGCTGAATCACTCTTTGTGTGCTCTAGTTGGGACTAGCAATACGAGACAGACTTTGTTTTAAAATTAGGAGATAAATACAAGCTTCGTTTACAAGTACAGTGAGTGTGTTTAGTCTCAGAGTTCTGCTGGAATCATATATCTAGAACTCTAATTCACTTCAACCTCTTAATACATACTATTTGTATGGATCAAAATGTTAATCTAGTATTCAACAACAGCTTGTAGTCAGAGAAGACCACTCTCACTCTGCCATTGTGAGATATCCCCCCTCCCAGCTCATATAGGAGCTGCTAGTAGCATAACTGCTTATACTAATGTTGCAGTTTAATTATGATATACAGTATCTTTTATTGTTTCTAACTCTTTTCAATAGGTAGGGTTTACTCAATATTGTGAAAACAATGAATAAAAACAGATGTTTCTTTATAAAATAAATTCAGAGTGGTTTGTGACATAAAAACAACTACAGTATGACAGTTGCCAAGCTCCTGATACAATTAGAAGAAGATGGTTTTAAGTATTGGCAGGGATTAATGGATTTTGTAATAAAGGTGAAAAATCAAGAATAAATAAAAGATACTGGTATAATACGCAAAAAAGTGGAGGTTTAGGTATTCCCAATGTAAAAAATTATTATGTAGCGAATCAACTTATTGGAGATATTATATATAAAAAAGGAAGAATAATTTGGTGAGATATGGAATCTTCAGAAATACATGGAAATATTAAAAAGTACTCGTTCAATGCAGTAAAAAGAAATATAATAAATCAGGTGAATAACTCCTTTTTAACAAACAGTTAAATGTGTGGGAACAAATATAAAAAGAAGTTTTGTCTTTTTACTTCATCACTATAATTAGTGACTGAAATAGAAAATTTCCCAGCAGACTTTGTAAGGGGTTTGTTGATTTGTTCAAGGATAAAAAAAGCTTCCAGATTGAAAGATCGGATGGTTAAAATGAGTTCAAAGGATCAGACTATAGCTAAACTTCAAACTAATAAATTATCATGGTACAATTATATCCAGTTAGATAGATGGACTAATGAATGGTTGAGGATTAATGGCAAATGTACTAAGTATGAACAATTTCTATCATCACATGAAGACATGCAGAAGGATGCTTTGAAGAAGGGAGTAGTAAGCAAAATTTATAACCTAATTTTGGATCAGGAGGAAAATGAGATTGAAATAGAAGGATTAAAATCAATTTGGGAACATGATTTAAAGACAAAAATTAGAACAGAGGATTGGATTAAAAAATTTGGAAGATGAGAGTTCTAAGA